CGGCGGCAGGGTGGGGCGTCCCCCTCACTGCTGTGAGAAAGTGTTCTTGTGGCAAACCCGGGAGCTAGGCAGGAAGTGCTGCAGGGAATCCCCAGCTGGGAGGCACGTCTTGTCCCTGGGCTGTACCCTCTGGACAACTTGGGGGAGCACTGGGGCAGGACCTGGGGCTCTGGGCACTCGGTGGATCTGTGAGAGAGATGCCTGTGGACTCACCTGGACACTTACCTATTACGAGACAGGCAAAGTGTCCTGCAGGGCCCAGTATCTGCCCCCACAGTGCCCACCCAGAGACTGCAGCCTGAAGCAGGAACAGTCACCAGGACTCTGGGCCCACTGGCTCTTCCTATTGGCTGCTGAGAGGCTGCAGCCTGGGAGAGGGTGGGAGGAGAGGCAAGGCCGATGCCTGCCAGAGCTGGTGGGGTCCAAAGGACGTTCTCAGGGACCTAGCATAGGCCACATACTCAGGACCCCCTGAGTCCCCAGGATTCCCAGCATTCTTGCTGACGGGCTTTTGGGGTCAAGACTCTCTGGCCAGCGTGCCTGACACTTCCCACACAACCAGGCTGCTGATGTCCTGGAAGTGGTTATGTAGATGGCCTCAGAGAGGTGAGGACAGACTGATAAGCCCTGGGGTCCTGTGCACACCCAGAGTTCCAGCCCCATAAATCTCAGGGCCTGACAGGGAAGGGCAGCTTCAAGCAGAGCTGCCAAAACGTGGCTGGGTCAGGAACATCCAGGGATCCAGGAGACAGCGGCATTATCACACTAGGCAGCAACAGCCTTATAGACACACACAGGCCTGGAACACAAAGGCTTCATTGGGGTTCTGCCATCCAGCCCCTCTGAGAGGCCCCCAGAGGCCTGAGGGCAATGCTTAGAGCCAAAGACAGGAGGTGCTGATGCCATCCAGTGCCCAGAAGGGTAGAGGCCCAAGGCAGAAAGGGCCAGAAGGTGCCAAACCACCCCTTCCAGTGAAGTTACTCTCTTTTGGGGAGAGCATTTCTAGACCCACCTTCAATGCTGGTGGCCCTGAGATGGAAAGGAAACCCCTTTGCAGAGGACAGGCCAAGACAGGATGGCCAGGACCAGCACCTGCTCCTCTGTGATGGTCTGGGGACCAGGAGCAATGCCCGTCCTGGGCAGGGCCCTGCAGGAGGCACAGGCTCAAGGCTCCATGCTGACCGGCCACCCCCACCTGCCACACTGCGCCCACTCAGTCATGTTTTTCTTAATCTCTACAGCTCTGAGCAGCACTCTCTCATCTCACCCAAACTGCACCTGCATTTAGCGATGGTCTCTTGAGCATCCCTCACTCACCTGGCCTCAGCGGCTGCTCCAAGGAACTCCCACACTCCTGTCCAGTAAACACATGGCCATGGCACCCAACAGTGTCCAATGGCTCTCTGAGGTGGGCCAGCACTGTTGGCACACACACCTGTGCATCCTACCTGCTTTCGCCATCTGCATGTCCCACCTTTGCACCTCACCTATGTACCCCATCTGGGCATACCTCACCCAGGTACCCCACCCGCACACCTCACCTGTGCACCCTACCTGTATACCTCACCTGTGTGCCCCACCTGCACACCACACATGTGCACCTCGCCCATGCACCCTACCATCAAGGTGAGACAGTGGAGTGCACAGATGGTGGAGCCTGCTCCTCATGGTGGAACATGAGCCTGGGGCCACGGGCTGTGTGGCCTCGTTGGGCCTGGATGAGGAGCTGCCATGGGATCAGCGTGGCTTTGGAAGGCCAGTGGGCAAGGCCTGAGACACTCTGTGCCTCTGGAGCCCACCCTGCTGCCAGGCCTCTCCTTCCTCCAATCCTTTGGTCATTGTCATGTGAGAGTCATTAGATTCTTCTCCAAACCCCAGGGCACTGGGGATATTTCACCAGCTTCATCACAGGGAACCTCAGGCTGTGGGATGGAGGCATCCTGCTCACAGCAGTTGTTATGGCAACTTGAGCCCCAGCTGACCTATGTGCTGGGGATTGATACCCAAATCACCTGCAGGACACTCACTCACCCACCCTCCAAACCTGCAGTGGTTTTGCCACCCCCCCTCCTTGTGGGACCCAGATTCTGATTCTTTGTGGGAGGGCTGCTCCCAGTGCCAGAGGCTGGTACGTGACCCAGGACACCACATCTCCCTGGTCATGGCGCCAACAAGGCAGACTCCTGAGACTTCTGTGCACCCCCTCATCCTTTCCCTGCAGCCTGAGTGAGGGGCTCACAGAGTAAAGCTGCCACTAGGAGGGGGTACAACCTCAAAGGCAGAACTAGGAGGTGGAGATGCTGAACCAAGTCCCGACAGCACTGATCCAACCCCTAGTTGAGCTGGGCCTGAAGCCAGAAATCATTCAAGCCAGTCCTTTTCCAGGTGAGCTCAGACCTGCTGAGTTGGATTGCCACCTTACAATCAGGGGTTCCAATATGAGAACAGACAAACGTGGGTGACGTAGTTACATCACCCCAACCTATACCTGCCTCTTGAACCAGGTTATATGCCATCTTATTATAAACTATAATATGCCTGTATCAGGGTAACAGGCAGCACTGGGGGATCTTGAGGGTCCTCAACTGAGTGGGCCAGAGCAGGGGAGGGTCTGAAGCTGCAGGCACAGGCCTGGGCTCACTCCTTCTTCCTTTTTCTCTCCCTGACACTAGGGATTGCTGGTGGGAGGGAATTGCCATCTGGGGAGGACAGTGTGCCGGGGGGCAAGAAGAGGGAGCCAGGAGCATAGGCCCCTCCCTGACTCTAGGTGCTGGGTCACCCCATGGCCCATGATGGGACCCATGACTGTCTTTGAGTCCCCTAGGGGGCAAGAAGGGTGTTCGTCAACCTCCTTCCAGCCCCCTTGTTCACTGGTATCCACTCCCAGGGGTTCTGGGGAGAGATAGGTTGGGCTTTGAGTGACTGGGGGCTTCTCCCCCAATCCTGCCCACATTGCCAGGATATCACAAACTCAACTCACCATTTTAAAGTGAATACTTCAGTGGCATTTGTTTCATGTGCCGTGTCGGATAACTGCCACCTCTGCCTAAATCCAGAACATTTTCTCTGCCTAAAAGGAGATCCTGTGGCCATTAGCACTTGCCAAGCCCTGCCTCGGCCCTGTCCCAGCCCCTGGCAACCACTAATCCACTTTCTGTCCCTGTGCATATGCCTGCTCTGGACATTTCACACAAATGGAGTCACAGGTGTGTCCTGCATCTGGCCTTCCTCCCTCAGTGTCACGCTGTCAAGCCATGTTCACAGCGTGGTGTGTGTCAGGGGTCTGCTCCTTGCAGCTACATGACATTCTCTTGACTACACAGACCAAGTTCATGAGCCTGTTCCTCAGCTGATGGGTGTCTGGGCTGCTTCCACCTCTTGGCAACTATGAATAGTGCTGTGTGGAGGTTGTGTACTAGGACCTGCATGGTGCCTGTTCTGGCTTCTCCTGGGCACAGTGGGAGCAGGACTGCTGGACCACATGGCATCCTATGCTCAGCTGCCTGGGAGCGACCTCTCCAGTGTGTGTGAGGCTGGCCTGAGGTCCAGGGCCAGGCTGGGAAGGGGCTGCTTCTCTCTTCCCCATGAGGGACTGTCATAGCCTCACAGCTGGTGCCTGGCATCTAGCCCTCCAGATCTGCCTGTGCTGAGTATGCTGACACTCAATTCCAGGCCCTGTCCCTTTACCTGCTTCAATTTCCTCACCTGTCAAACAAGGATGACATGGTAGAGGAAGGGGCATTTGTGAACTCATGCACCCCATGTCAACAGTCAGCACTCAGCCCAGAGCCCATCTGCCGGCAGCATGCGCCATACTGGCCTGACTGGGGGGCTGGGGGTGGCCTGCCGCACACACTGCACCTCCCTGCCACCTGCTGCCATTGAAGTTCCTAACCCACAGGCTTATCCACAGGCCTCACTATCTGGGAGGATCTTGAGGCTGTCCCCATGTCAAAGGCCAGGCCAGGGTAGAGGGCTTCCCTGGAGTCTCCAGTAGCTGCAACAGCCCAGCCCAGGCACAGGCCTGCAAGAGGCGTGGCCTAGCCCAGGGTCTGGTATCCACCACCTAGGCCAAGGCTGGGCAGCTGCCAGTTCCCAAGCTAAATCTAACATGCTTTAGATTCAAAGGTCCCTGTCATGGAGTCCTTGAGCTGCTCTGAGGAAAAACCACCAGAGCTCCTTCCCAAAGATGGAAAGATCGGCCTTGGGAAAGAGCCTGGCCCACTCAGGCTCACGGCTCCTACTTGAAGCAGCAGGGCTCAGGGCTTTATTTATTTATTTATTTAACTCTTGGTTTAATTTCAGTTCAGTAGATTTTTTTTTTTTTTGGAGACAGGATCTCACACTGTCACCCAGGTTAGAATGTAGTGGTGTCACCACAGGTCACTGCAGCCTCAAATTTCTGGGCTTAAGTCCCAAGTAGCTGGGACTACAGGTGTGTACTATCACCAGCCCCAACTACATCAGGGTTTCAAACAACCTGCAGGATACAGAGCAGAGGTGGCCAGTGGGGCCACTGACAAGAGGTGGGGAGACTGAGGCTGGGGTATAGCTGGGTCTCCCAGGATCCCTGCATGTACCGCCCTCTCAGGTACACCTGCATAGACCCTCCCAGTCCACAGAAGCTCTAGGATGCTGCCTGGATACCTCTGCTGACCACAGGGGACCCAATAGAACCCAGTCGGGCCCCAGGGGCAGGTGGAGGCTGCTGGCTTGGCTGTGGCCTCCCCATGCTGTGGGTGCTGCCACTGCAGCATACCAATTCCTGCTCCCACCTGGGTCCTTGCCTCCCAGAGGAGGGTAATGCAAGGGCTCCCCACATGCATGCACTCAGCAAGGCCTGGGCTGTAAACAGTTGTGGGGACTCTGAGCACAGGGTCAACTGGCTCGAAGTCAGAAGGCAAAATGGGTGAGGGACATGAGTTCAAACCCATGAGCCAGTGAGAGACAGAGACTGAGAGACAGAGAGACAGGAGCGTGGTCACCAGCCAAGGCCTCACCTGCCGAGTAGGGCTCCTGCTTCTCTGGGTGGATAAACTCTTGCCGCTCATACTTGGCCCGGATCCACTGCTCTCGCAGGAGTCTGGGGAGAGAGGAGGGTGACTGAGCTGAGGAGGCCACCTTGACCCTGAGGAGGTCCTGGGTGTAACTCAAGGACCCTTCGGAGGCCCCAGGCACCCTCAGCAGACTCAGGGCTGCCCTCCAGGCAGGAGACCCCAGGAAGAACTGCAGAGTTGGATACTTGGGTGCTGAGTTTCACCTTTTGATACTTCCTCTTTTAGAAAACAACTAAAATAGTGTGGCACCTGTGGCTCAAAGGAGTAGGGCACTGGCCCCATATGCTGGAGGTGGCGGGTTCAAACCTAGCCCCAGCCAAGAACTGCAAAAAAAACAAAACAAAACTGAAATAAATAATCCCATTACTAGGTATCTACCCAGAAGAAAAAAAATCATTTTACCATAAGGACATATGCACCAGAATGTTTATCGCAGCTCAATTCGCAATCACCAAGATGTGGAATCAACCCAAGTGTCCATCAACCCAGGAATGGATTAATAAACTGCGGTATATGTATACCATGGAATATTATTCAGCCATATAAAGATTAACCTGGATATAGTTGGAGAAACTTCTACTTAGTAAAGTATCACAAGAATGGAAAAGCAAAAATCCAATGTATGCAATACTAATATGAAACCAATAGATAAATAAATACACACCCACACAAGAGAAAAACACAATTAAACTCCAGTGGGGGGGGAAGGAGAAGGAAGAAGGCTTGGTGTGCCCTCACCTAACAGGCACAATGGAGGGTCTACGCACACCTCCTGGGGGCGGGGCACAGCTACAACTGGACTTTACCTAGCAAACACAATGTAACCTAATCACCCGTACCCTTATATTAACCTGAAATTAAAAAACAATTGAAACAATTCACATACCATAAAATTCACCCTTTAAAGTGTACAAGTCAGTAGTTCGTAGTATATTCGCCAGGTTGTGCAACCATCACCACTGTCTAATTCCAGAACATTTGTATCACCCCAAATAGAAACACCCATTAGCAGCTGCCCCCCCCCCAGCCCCTGCAACCATAATCCACTTCCGTCTCTACCGAGACAGACCTGCCCGCACATGTGAGCGGGATCATACAACACGTGCCTCCGTGTCTGGCTTCCCACGCAGCACGATGTTTTTGAGGTTCTTCTGTGTAACAACATGTGCCAGAATTCTCCTCCTTTTTATGGTTAAATGATATCCCATTGAATACCTCCTTTTAATAAGCATCTCTTTAGTCTTTAGGGAGCCAGGCCAGAATCCAAAAAAGGAAAAGGCCAGGCTGTGTATTCCCAGCCCTCTAGGGCCTCCAGAGTGGACTCACCAGGAAGGATCTCAGGGAGAGCACTGGGTCCCAGGAAACCTAGGTAGGAAGGATCCTTGCCGAGTAGGAATCTGAGGCCCAGGGCTTGGTGAAGAGATGGGTGTCCACTGGGCTTACACAGGTCAGCAAGACCCTGGCCCTTACTAGGGGAAAGGTATTGGGAGCAGGAAGGCCGAGGCTAATCTGAGAGGAGACCAGGGCAGGACCGAGGGGTGGCCAGCAGAGCCCCTGTGTCTATACACACCTGCTCCAGAGGCCCAAAGCCAGACCATAGCTTCCCCTACCTCCAGAGCATGGTCCTGGGTCTCAGTTGCTCAGATGGTGGCTTGGGCAGCCTGGCTCCTCTTCACAGGTGTCTCCTTCCCCCCACAGCCTTTCCAAGCAGCTGGATAGACATAGGAGGCCCCTTCAGCCCTGGGCCCAAAAGCCTCCATGGCCACCTCATGCAGTATGTTCAGTGACAGCAAGGTCCTCTGTGCCCAAGGATGGACTGACCCCTTTTTGACCCAGCCCCCACAGCAGGGGGGAGCACGGGTGTCCCCAGAGGCAGGTGCTTCGGCCTCCTCAACTCTCTTTGGCCTGGCTTCTACCTTGTAAGGCACACAGAAGCAGCAGCTGTCAGGCCATGAGGTGTCTAGGGGCCTTGGGAGGCTTGGGAGGGAGGCAGGCCTGAGCACAACTTGAGACAGGAGAAAGATGGCGGGAGGCACACAGCCCAACAGGCCTGAGCTGCTGAGTTTCTCTGTCCACTCTCACAGCAAGGTCTGCTGACACCACCACAGAGGGCTCATGCCCTGGGCCTTGGGGTCTTTTTGACTCTGGTCAATTCCACAGAAAAGACAAATAGGAAACATCTGGCTTGGCTGTGGGTCTGTATGCCCAGCCTGGGTGGTGCTGGGGCCCTTGGGCTCCTGGGCGTGTGGATGCACTGTCCACCTCTGCCTCTGTCGTCACATGGGCTTGCTCTCTGTATCTCTTATGAGGATACCAGTCATGGGACTGGGGGCCGACCCTAACCCAGGTTGACCTCACCTTAACCTAATTACACCTGTAAAGACCTGATTTCCAAACAAATTTACCATTGCAAATACTGCAGGTTGAACACAAACACATCTTTTGAGGGATACCATTTAGCCCCTGGCAGGGTTCCAGCTGCTGACCATGGGGGCACCCCAGGCTCTGGCCTCTCAGAGCCATGGGGAGGACCCCATGCTGTGGGGGGGAGCCGGGGCTTGTTGGCATCAGAGATGGCTGTGACAAACAGCTGTCAAGGCCCAGGCCACTTGCCTTGTGCAGACACAGGTACCCTTGGCTCACACCTGCACACAGGGCCTCCCTAGGCTGACCCAGAAGTTTCTAGAAATAGCAGCAGGAAGAATCCCTGGGAGCTGGACTGGGAGGTCAGAGGCTGTATCCTGCCTGTCTGGCCAAGCTGTCTCAAATCCTTCCTCAAGTCAAGTCCCAGTGCCAGCTGCTCATTGCAGCCCAGCCTCGCCCTCCAGAGGAGGTCTTCCCAGCCTTCTCCTACGCTGGGCTCTCACCCCTCATATGGCCTGGGGGTGATGGAGTGGTCTTAGGCACTTGGGCAGACCCCTGGTCCCACTCTCTGGAGTCCGTTTTGGGTTCCTGGGGCTCAAGGGAGCTGTCCACTTAGCGCCAGGGTCCTTAGAGCAAACCATGCACTGGGGGCCAGGTCTGGCAGGGCATGGTGACCACTTGCCCTGGTGCAGGTTTATGGGGACCCCCAACCCACCCCCACAAGCTGAGTCCCAGGTGCCTGATTGGGTGCCACCAGAAACCAGCCAGGGCTGGTCCCAGCAGCCCTGGAGGTCACATAGTTCATACACCCAGGGCAATCAGCATCCTCCCAGGTGTCCAATCTTCCTCCAGTTCTGCCTACTTTTGCCACAAGTATTTCTAACACCTGGGTCACTCCTGAGGTGGCCGTAACTGGATTGTGCCCTCTCCCACACTGGAATTCTGACCTCAGGACCTCAGAATGTAGCTGGAGACAGGGCTCTAATCCAGCATGGCTGGCACCCTCATGAAAGGGGAAATCACAGACACACACAGAGGGACAGCCACTAGAGGATACCACAGAAGGTGACCATTGACCAACCTTGGAGCGAGGCCTCTGGAGACACCCACCTCGAACTTGCAGCCTCTAGAGCGGAGCAGGTGGACTCCTGCCGCCCTGAACCTCTCAGCCCATGGCATAGTGGGCCCCTGCCTACCTGTGGGGCCCCAGGCTTTGAGGAGGCAGTGGCGACCTCCCACAGCAGGTGCTACCGGAAGCTGGGCCACTGCCTGTACTCCCAGTGTTGAGGACGGCGCCTGCATGCCTGCCCAGCCCTCACCACACAGGAAGAGGGAGGGGCTGGTTTCTATCAGAAGTAAAACCAAGAGTAGCCCCTTTTGACTTTCCTTCCCCGAAATAAGGGTGCAAACATGAGGTCCTTGTGGTGATGCAAGGACAGCCCATCCCGCCTCTGCCCTGAGTCATGGCCTGTGCTAAAAATAGTCACGCGGGGGACCCTCTGAGATCCCAGGCACTCTGACCTCCAGAAAGGAGGCCAAGTGTGGGGAGCAGACTCCTGGCCACAGCGGCCAGCAACCTCCCCTCTTACAACTGGGGAACTGAGGACCTCAGCCTCCCGGCAGCAGGAGGTGCCTATCCTGCCTGTCCCATGGCCAGCAGATGCAAGATGCAGTGGGGTGTGAAATCAGGGCTTTCGGGTCTGTCCTGCTCTATGTCCCTGCCCGCTACTCTCAGCACCTCCAAACATCCCACCTAGACACGTGCAGTGTCAGCCCTGTGAGAGCTTCCATGTGACAACCTGCATCCCAGACTCAGGCTGTACAGGTGGACAGGAGAATCAGGGTGCCACTGGCCGGGAAGGAAGCACAGGCCCCTCTTGCCATCCTACAACACTCCAGCCTCCTGCCCCTCATGGACTTTACAGACTCCATGTCACCCACCTCCTGCCTTCCTCGGCACACTACAGTTGACACCTGGGGAAGGGCCTGTGCCAGGAGGGTGAATGCAAATGACCAGACAGAAGCACACGTGGCTATAAATTCATGTCTCAGAAAGAGCCACTCTGGCACTGGCTCCTGATTCAGGCTGAGGATGCCCAGGCAGCTCCTGGGACAGGTTTTCCCTTGAGTACATGATGGGGGTCTCAGGATGGGGTCAGGGGCTCAGGACTATCTGGCCTCATTCAGGATATAGGCTGTAGGGTCTGCCAGCCCGTCTTCTCATCTGGGAAGAGGGATCTCTCTCTCACGTTTGTGGAAGGATCAACAAGAAAATGCCTGCTTGGTGTCCATACTGGGGCCTGGTGCCAGGTGATCCCTTATCAATAATGAATAAACGGGCAGGAAGAAACACAAGCCTGGACTGAGAGCTGGGGAAGTCTTCAGCCCAGGAGTGTATCCTCCCTTCCCTGCTCTCCTCCTCCTTCCCTCTGCCCCTCTTCCTCCTCCCCTTCCTTCTTCCCTGGTTTTATCTCCTTCTCCCCCCTCCTCTTCCCCTCCTTTATTCCCATCCTCCCCTCCTCCTTCTTCCTCCTCCCTTCTCCTTCCTTCTCTTCCCCCTCCTTCCCCTTCTCTTCTCCACTCCGCCTCCGTCCTCTTCTTCCTCCTTCCTTTCTCCTCCTCCCCTTATTTCTCCTCACTCCTTTCTCCTCCCCTTCTCCTCCTTCCTCTTGTTTACCCCCTTCCCTTCTCCTCTTCCTCTTCTCCTTCTTTCTCTTCTCCTTCCTCCCTCTTCCTCCTCCTCCCCATCCCCTCTTCCTCCCCTCTTCTTACTCTTCCCTCCTCCCCCCAGCCCCTTCCCCTTCCTCCTTTTCCCTCTTCTTCCACCCCCTCCCTTTCTCTTTTTCCCTCGACTTCCTCCCCTTCCTCCTCCCTCCTCTCCTTCCTCATCCTCCTTCCTCTCCCTCCTCCCTCCCTCTCCCCTGCTTTACCTACTCCTCCCTCTACCCACCAGCCCCACCTGCTCTTGTGCTCTCTGAGAGGCCCTTTGGACCCAGTGTGAACACTGCAACCCTGCTCCCCTCTCATGAAGTTTACCAACTCTGGGGCAGACCTTGAACAAAGCGCTGGATATGTATGCACCACAGATGCCCCAGTGGTAACCACAATCCCCTCAGCAACTCCTGAGGCAAAGACCCAGGGCAAAGCCCAGACTGGCTCCAAGCTCCCCAAGTCAGGGCAAGCCCACATCAGTGACGCCCAAGGGTGTGGGGCCTTGGGAGAGCAGACGCTTCATGGTCATCTAACATGGTATCAGAAAACACACAGGGCTGCACTGGCCCCGGTCCCACAGGTAGTGCCCTGGGTGGGGCCTGGGGTGTCTGGGTTTACATGATGAGTCAAAAGTGAGTCAGCAGAAGAAAAAGCTGAGCATAGGGGAGACCAGGTGGGGCCTGGGGGACCGGAACCCAGTCGGGTCTGGGAATGAGGAGATCAGGGTGTGGCCACCCACACCTCAAGTCTCCCTGTGCAGAGGCAGGGCTTGGCCCTCAGATATCCCAAAGCTCAGGGCTCATCGCCAAGAGACATGGGCGCTGGCAGGACTGGCTGAGCCACATGGCTGACCTGAGAGCCACCCCACCCCTGCTGAGGCTGTTTGGGTAACAGGTTCACATCCAAGCCACACCTGAGCAGGGACATCCTGCTTTGGGAGGACAGGGGTACATGAGCATCCTGGTGAGGAGCATCCCAGGAAGACAGCATGACTGGAGATCTGGGGGGATTGGGAGGGAAGGGGGAGCTAGAGTGGGTCCAGGCAGGGGCTAGGCCAGAGATGAGCAAGAGCCCAGATGAAGGAAGGACCAGGGTGGCTCACACTGGAGTTCACATTGCCTCCCTGATACCGGGCCTAGTAAAGAGGGGGCTGAGGTGCATAGACCTTCACTCCAGAGCCCCTCAGGTGTATCTGCCTGTGTGGGCACCAAAGATTGAGAAACCAGAAGAGCTCCCAACCAGAAGAATCATGGGGGAGACTGAGTTCCCCAAGCAGTCAAGCAGATCAAGGAGGGAGTGAGTTCAGGACTGTGAAATGGCAACACAGAGCCAGGACCATGTCGAGTAGAGGTGGAAGGGGCTCCAGGCAAATGGCACTGCCTGGGCAAAGTTGGGAGATAGGAAGGCACAGTGTGGGCATAGGAAACAGGCAACCCTGCCTGGACAGGATAGCAAGATGCTCAGAGAGAACTGGGAGCTGAGAGCCCAGACTCCTCCCCGTGATGGGCTGAGGGGATGGCTCTGGTATGTCTCATGCCAGGATCTGTGCTGTCATTCCCTTCTCATCTGCTAGACAAATGGGGAAGCTGAGGCTCACTAAGGGCAGGGGAGTGGTCCAAGGTCACTGTGTTGTGCCAACTTGGGCCCAAGCCAGCCCCCTCATGACAGCCAGGGTTGCCTGGAGAGAGATTCCAGGGCCCTCCCTACCAGGCCAGGACCCATGTCAAGGCCCCATACAACTGCAGCTTCTTGTGTCCTCCTCCCATCCAGCACACCCAGGAGGACTGCTTAAAAGCCCCCCTGAGACCCTGATGGGGAGCCCCCCCTACCCCCTGAGAACCCCAATCTGCTGGGACAAAGCATCTTTCCCTGCATGCCCCTGGCCCACTGCCCACAGGCCAAAATCCAAAGCCAAAGGAGAGGGAAGCAGACACGGAGCTGCACACTGTGGGCTGGACGCTGGGGCTCCTTGGGGGCACAGCACAGCCCTGGCCAACTTTCCCTAAGGCTCTCGCCCCCCACCCCACCCGTGGGTTCTCCCAGAGCCATCTCCGGGGCTGTGGCCCAGTGCTGTTTACCAGTGACCCTGACAAAGCCCCTTTGTACTTACTGGCAGTCGGAAAACGTGGGCCGGTAGTAGAAGGGGGGCACTTTGGACTCAAATGTGGCTCTTGCAGCATCGTTCCCTCGGGAGGCCATGAGCTGTGAGAGAGGGGAGGCCAGAGTCAGAAAGTCCAGAGTCCCAGGTCTACGTGGCTGCGGGGCCAGGGTCAGGGAACCCAGAGCCCCAGGCCCAGGTGGCAGACGTGAGGCGGCAGACCCAGCACTGAGGGCTTGGCCAGCATTGGGGTGGGACCTTCACCTTCTCTTCTATCCTGAGAACACTGCGTCTGAGCAATCTACCCTTCCCAGTGCATGGAAGGAGCCAGCATACCTAAGGAAAGGAAGGGAGAGCCCCCTCCTCAGCATTTGAACCCTGCCCAGCACATCCCACACAGGTGTCTCAGCTGGACAGCCTGCTCCATCTGGTGATGCCCCCATCGCTGCCTCATGAAAGGATGGGCTTATTCATTCATCTGACTCTCACGCAGCAAGAAGCTATAGCTGGCACTAGAGACAGGCTGCTGCTGAGGCAGACCCAGGCCCAGCCGGGCCTTCTGGGAGGTAGACAGAGGCAAAGACCAAGAACACATGTACAAAGACAGACACAAATGGGCTGCAGTGTGGGAGTGGAGATGCTCAGGAGGCTGGTCATGACAAGGGGGTCTTGGCAGGAAGATAGCCATGCGAGGCAAGTTGGAGATGGTGCCACAGCAGGCTGGGGGCAGGCAGCAGGACCTGACCCACCACCATAAGGGCAAGGGGGCAGCATGGGTCTGTTGTCCCCTGAGCCCTCAGGGCAGTTGCTGTTTGGACCTTCCCTGAGGCTGTCTGCCAGGTCCACCCAGACAGAAACCCCTACTCTGGAGTCTGCCAGGACCTGTGAAGATCAACCGGAAAAAAGTCACGAGGGAGACGTTTCACAAGAGGCTGGCACCAAATTAAAATTCTAAAATCAATGGCTTTTCTATATAAAACTTCAATCTGTTAGGAGACATAACCGAAGAAGGAAAGATCCTACTTATGACAGCAACTGGACAAAAGTGCCTAAGAATCAACTTAATGAGAAATGTCCAGCCAGGTGTGATGGTGTATGCCCATAGCTCCAACTACTCAGGAGGCTGGGGCAGGAGGGTCACTTGAGGCCAGGAGTTGGAAGTTAAAGTGACCTATGATCGTGACACTGCACTCTAGCCTGGGCAACAGAGTGAGATCCTGCCTTTAAAAAATATATGTTAACAAGCAAAAAATGTCCTAGGAAATTCTGAAAATGAAAACTCTTCCTACCAGATATTAAAACATTTTATCATGCTACTCTCAGTAAAACAGGTGTTCATCAGATAAGCCTGGCTCAATGAAACAAACTAGAAAATTCAGGAATAGATCCATAGACCAGTGGTGATTATACATGGGGTGGTGACACCTCAAAACAACAAGCGAAATGTCAATCGACTAAAGAATGTGAGGAAATGGTGAAGCCATGGGGGGGGGGGGGGAATGGAGTTTGCTATGCCTTCCACAAAAATAAATCCCAATTGAATTAAACGTTCAATTAAAAAGATTAAACAATAAAAATAGTGGTTCAAATCATGGGATGATTTTTTAAAATAGTTTTCGGAACATATACTCGGATTAAGTTACAGTGTTTTAAATATAACACCAAAAGCACAGCAACAAAAGAAAAAATAAATAAATGGGACTTTATCAAAATTAAAAACTTTTGTGCTTCCAAGGATACCATCAGGGAAGTGGAAAGATATGATAAGCCTCAGAAACATTGTGCTAAATGAAAGAAGCCAGACGCAAAAGGCCACACATCATATGATTCCATTCAGATGAAAAGTCCAGAACAGGCAAATCCAGAGAGACAGAAAACAGATTGGCAGTTGCCAGGGACTGGGGGACCTCCTTGACGTGATGAAAGTGTTTGGGAACAAGATGCAAATGATTGAAAACACCATAAAAGTGCTAAATGCCACTGAACTCTTTAAAATAGTTAATTTTGTGTTGTGAATTTCACCTCAATAATAAAAAAAATTACATAGATATCTCCTTAAGAATATAATTTTTTGTATTTTTAAATATTATATTTTAAAAAGAAAGTGAAAAGAATCTACAGAGTGAGGAAAACTTTCTGTAAGTCCTTCATCTGATAAGGGACTTGTGTCCAGAATATATTACATAAGAAACTCAATCATAAAGACTCCTAGCTTAATCATAAAAGACAAATGACCCAATTTTAAGATGAGTAAAGGATTTGAGCGGACATTTCTCCAGAGAAGATATACCAATGGCCAGTAAGCCCATGAAAAGATGCTCACCATTGTCAGCCATCAGGGAATGCAAATCAAAACCGTAATGAGCTGCCAGCTCCCCCATCAGGATGGCGAATAGCAAAGGCAGACAGACAGTGGTATGAGTGGAGAGGAGCGGAGGGGAGAGAGTGGAGCCCTCATGCTGCTCACAGGAGTGTGTCGCTCTTTTTCTACAAAATATTCTGGCAGTTCCTGGTGGCAGTTCCTGGTGGCCATAACTCACAGGGTAGGGCACCGGCCACATATGCCAAAGCTGGAGGGTTCGAACCCAGCCTGGGCCAGCTAAAACAACAATGATAATTGCAACAACAACAACAACAAAATAGCCAGGTGTTGTGGCAGGCGACTGCAGTCCCAGGTACTTAGGCTGGGCAAGAAAATCGCTTAAGCCCAAGAGTGGGAGGTTGTGTGAGATATTACGCCACAGCACTTTACCCAGGGTGACAGCTTGAGACTCTGTCTCAAAAAAAAAAAAAAAAAGTCTGGCAGTTCCTTAAATTATCAGACACAGAGTTACAGAGGACCTAGCAATTCTATTCCACCCCCAGAGAAACGAAGATGTCCCTGCACCACCGTGCACATGGATGTCCACCATAGCAGGGTTCACATAACTGAACAGAGAAACAGCCTCGATGTCCATCAACTGACGATGGGTAAACAAAATGTGGTCACACAATGGAGTATTATTCAGCCACGAAAAGGAGTAAAGCACTGATACACGCCACAATACGGAAAAACCTCCAACGCATTGGGCTCGGTGAGACAAGCCAGATGCAAAGGGCCACATACTGTGTGAGTCTATCTGTTTGAAATGTTCAGAACAGGCGAATCCGTAGAGACAGAAAGTAGGTCTTTCTGCCTTCAGTAGAGGCTGGGGTGCTGGGGGTGGGGAGTAAGCGCTAATGAGTCCGGGGTTTTATTTTGGGATAAGAAAATGTTCTGAAATTAGCTAGTGGTGATGGCCGCTCAGCTCTGTGGCCACACAGCAACTACTGAACTGTACACTTTACGAGGGTGAATTGTGTGGTATGTGAATTATACCTCAATCAAGCTGTTATTTAAAAAAAAAAAAAGCCTAAGGCAGAGAAAGCTGAAGTATGCTATAAACCCTAAAACCACAAAAGAAAAGGTTTATCAATTAGACTACAACACAGTAAAAAAATTTCCATGGCAAAAACCACCACGGGCAAAGTCAAAAGACAACCTAGAAAAAACTTCTGCAGCCAAAATCTCAAAGGGTGGGTGTCTCTAGTACACCAAGAACCCCTAGAAGATGAAACGACTGGCAGGGAAATAGAAAGACAAAAGGCACAAAGAGACAGTTCCCATGTAAGAAAACACATGATACTAACACGAGTCAAAGATGCTCCATTTCATTCAGGACAAGAAAATTCCAAATGAAAATTCCACTGAGAATAATTCTCCCCCCAGGCAGCTGTAGCCGGGCAGGGTGCGGGGAGCTCTCCCATAGCTTGCTGGCACCTGAGAAGTTGTGGTGGGGAGTGCAGCAAAAATCTCCCCAAAATTACCAAACCACATAACCTTTAACCTTGTGCTTTCACTTCCAGGAAGTTAGGCTACCGAGCAACTCTTACACATAAGTCACCAGCTCAGGGGTTATAGTTAGGAAAGGCTAGAAGCAACCTACATGCCCAGCTGAGGGGCAAACAGGTCGCAGGGTAGAAGAGCAGGGTTGGGAAAAAGGGAATTGAGCAGGGCAAGGGCCGGGGGCAGATGGCAGAAAGGGGCAGAACCAGCAGGAGGGAGCTCATCCTCCACAGAGCTGTTTAGGACTGTGGGTGTCCCGCCAATGTGCTCCCAGATCATTAAGGCACATTGCATGAGGTGAAGAGGCCTGAGTGTCCATGGAAGAATGAATGGACAAAGTACAGTCCACCCATGACTGAGTGTCAGCCTGAGAATGAATGGAGCGCTGGCACCTGCCTCAGTGTGGATACTACGCAGAGGCCCAGGCAGCCTGGGTGCCTATTCTCGTTAAATGCCCATAACAGGCAAAGCTACCGTGAGAGAAGCAAGTGTGTGGTTCTTAGAGCCGGGCAGGGAGTTTAAGGGCACAAGATTTCCTTCTGAGATGATGAAAATGTCCTAAAACTGACAATGGTGACAGTTGCACAACCCTGTGAATATACTAAAAACCACTGTGGGTGGTGCCCGTAGCTCAGTGGGTAGGGCGCTGGCCCACCACCCAGGCTGGTGGGTTCAAGCTTGGCCTGGGCCTGCTAAACAGCAATGATGACTGCAACCAAAAAAATAGCCAGGCGCTGTGGCAGGCACCTGTGGTCCTACTTGGGAGGCTGAAGCATGAGAATCACTTAAGCCTGAGAGTTTGAGGTTGCTGTGAGCTGTGACAGCACAGCACTCTACCAAGGGCAACATAGTGAGGCTCTGTCTCAAAAAAAGAAAAAAACCACAAAAAAACCCCATCGACTTGTACACTTTAAATGGGTGAATTGTATGGTATGTGAATTGTTTAAACAATGAAGCAATTGTTTAAAGAGATGTTACAGAAGAATATAAAGTTGAAAAAAAGCACAACTCATAAAATGCGAAGAAAAGAAAAGGGAAGAAGAGAAGGTCCCTCTGTGCCGGCCACAGCCCACGGGGCCAGATTTGGGTCACGGCTGTACCAGCCTGTTTGTCCCTGGTTGGGCGGGAGCACAAATGGCCCCTAGGGCTCTTGGGACCTCAGATTCCCCTAGAGGACCACTACCCAATCATGGGAAGGGGCCCAGGAGGCTGTGGCAGCCATGCCCCTGAAAATCCCAAGCAAGATGCCCCAGACCCAGCTCTGCCCTTGGCCAGGGGTCCAGCATCTCACAGGCCAAGCCCCCAGGCCTCTCCAAAATCACCTTTGTTTCTAATCACCAGAGCAAACATGCAGAGCAGAGAGGACAGGGGCCTCCTCCTGGCTCACCAAGCTCACTGCTCTCTGCAGGCCCTGATGTAGGCAGAGACAGGGGATCCTAAGGCCCACGTGGTGACAGCCCTTCCAGCCTCCCTCCCTGGCATCACTCCCAGATTCCAGCCCACAGCTCCAGGTCTGCCCTCCTGTCCTTTCTGACTGGCAAAGCTTAGGATATTTCTAATAACAGTGAACACTTACCCACGTGCCTGGGCAGTCCTTCTCTGGATGAGCCTGGACATGGAATTGCTGGTCTGACAGGCAGGGCCTTTCCCCAGCCTGAGAAGTCTGGGCCCCCTGGGCCCCCAGCTCGTGTTCTCTCCCACCTTCCCAGGAAGGGGTGGGGGCACTCCCCTCATTGTCTTTGTGACACTGGCTTTTGACCTCTGCCTTCCAGGAAGGAGAACAGTCCAGGGACCATTCTATTCATTGCCCAGCAAAAGGGGACTGATATCATAAGCCAAATATCCAACTCAGGGTCAGTGCGGTCACATCCAAGGTGTGCCGGGGTCCTGCTGGCATTCTAGGGGACATCCCGAACCTCAGGTGTACCCACCATATGCAGAGTCTGGGTCACTGGGTTAATCTGGGTGGGTCTGGTATACAGCAGTCTCCTGGCCACCCGCTCTCACCCACACAGCCAGTCAGCCCCTCAGCACCTTGTCCTCCATTCCTGCCAGGGCCTCACTTCAGAGGGTTAGACTCAACTCGTCTGGGGGTCTTCAGGTCATACCCTCTATCTAGGAAGTCCCGCCACTTCCCCTGGGGTCTGCCTTGTCCAGGCCCTACCAAACACCCACCCCATCAATCACCCCTGAACCAACAGTGCCTCACCTGCCCCCCCTGCCCAGAAGGACATCTTCAGGAGACAATGGCTGCTACCCAGCTCCACTTCCTTGCCCCACATGGAAGTGCCCAGTAACCATTTCTCACATAAATGAATGAGTGAACGAATGGCTGGCTTCTCACAAGGATTAGCCATAACACCCTAAAAGGAAGAGGGGCCTATGGCCCTGCACAGGCTGGTCTGGGCTGAGCGCCAGGTATGGGACACAGGAGCCAAAGCCAGGAGCTTGTGTGGCAAGAGCACTTGCCAACCCATTTCCCTCATGCACTGCAGGTGTGCCCTTGTAGCTGCCACAGAGCCCACAGCTGCCATAGAAGGGAAGTAGACCCCCACATCGATGGGGGGCAGAGGGAAGCTGTGCAGGAGGAGCTGCTAGAGGGGCCAGGTCCAGTCCCACAGCCTTGGATTCCAGGCAGCCTGAACCCCCAGCTCCTGGAGGGCTGTAGCCCTGCTACTGGGGGGAACCGCAGACTGGTCCCTTGGGGGAACATACCCCCAGGCCCTGGGGGCCACAGCCTGGTTGCCCAGGAAGGCTGGGTCACCCAGAGAATGGCAGCAGGACACTCTGTCCCCCACCCACCCTGGGCCCCTCACTCAGGCCCCTACCTCCACTTGGGCCTCCTCCCAGGCATCCAGGCGGACTGATTTCACCTTGCTGACCTGGGGGATGTTCCGGTGGATTCCAGAGCAGCTGAGGCAGATGAACACACCCAGGGTGTAGGAAGCCCAGTCTGGATCTGGAAAGAAAAGGCCAAATGTTCAGGGAGGCTTAGCCCAAGGGACCCAGAGGGTGGACAGAGCATCGAACCAGATGTTATGAAGCTCTTGGTTAGAAGCCTCAACTCCCACCCAAACAACAGCTGATGGCACAGGAGACTGTGGACATTGCCAGCTTCACGGACCCCAAGAGAGGGTTGGTACAGCCTATAGATGAGCAACCCCAACCTAGTTGCTCTGTGATGTGGACGGGGGGAGGGGGGCCTGAAAGGGAATCCCCATCTTGGCAGGAGCCCACACCCCTTAAGCCAATCCAAGTGTTCTAGAGACCCCCAAGCAGAGTGGGACACACATGCCTTCTTGTGGGGCTGTGCTGGGGTTGTCTGCACACATGAATCATCTCAGGAGAGCTTTGAAAGTATGAGATACCCGACAACCAACACAAGGCACACAGCTGTGAACAGTGCTGTGGACACGGTGTGTCAGGCCATGGTGCACGACCAGCACTAATTCTGTTAGGGGTGACAATGTGTTGTGGCTTGACTTTGCATGCCGACATATCTGGGGATTATATATCTTCATGTCTTATTTACTTTAAAAGATTCAACAAAATGTTGGCTTGGCGCCCATAGCACGGTGGTTATGGCACCAGCCACATACACCGAAGGTGGTGGGTTCGAGCCCAGCCCAGGCCAGCTAAACAACAATGACGACTGCAGCAACAACAAAAAAATAGCTGGGCATTGTGGCGGGAGCCTTTAGTCCCAGCTACCTGGGTGGCTGAGGCAAGAGAATCACTTAAGCCCAAGAGTTTGAGGTTGCTGTGAGCTGTGACACCATGGTACTCTACCAAGGGCAACATAGTGAGACTTTGTCTCAAAAAAAAAAAAAAAAAGATTTAACAAAATACATGTACATATGCATGGATGAAGCAAATATGACAAAACTCTAAAAATGGCTGGGTCTAACCAAGTATATGAGAATCATGGTAGAACCAGGGCTCTTTTGTGTCTGTCTGAACATTTCACATTGAAACATAACGAAGTAAACGGCCAGGAACATAGAGATCCTTAAGGCCGGGCAGTCAGTGAGTGGACACGTTTGACCCTCGGAATCGTCCCATTTCACACAGCTGTCATAACACCAGAAATGTAGAAAGGAGCCCTGAAGAGAATCATCTCTCAGAGAGGAATGAGTCATTTCTGAAATACTATTACTTATAGGGAAGGTCTCTCCTGGATGAGGTTGGTTTAAATCAAGATGCTTCCCAGCATCTGGGTGTGACGTGGACCAAATCCTGGCTGTGAAATGTGAGCCAGTGGACCCATGTCCTTCCAGGCCAGGCTGAGGGCGATGTTCAGCCCACACTGCTGTGTAGCCACCCTAGGTGCTTCAGGGACCCTAATTCACTGCCTGGAGGAGAGATGCCTGACAAGGTCCAGACCAGGCACTGCCACCAGGGTCTTGTAGCATGTGAGGGACAAATCTCCATCTTTGAGACTTGGGAGGTGTTTGTTAAGCAGTTGACTCCCTATTTGTTAGGCAGAGGAAGTCTGTCTCCCCATCAACGGTGGGCTTCTTGAATGTGAACCCCTATACCCCTGGACTCAGCACAGAAAAGGTCTTTGCAAGAGTCGTAAATCAACAAGTGACCAACAGCCCAACCTCAGCAGAGCCCCTATGTCCAAGGGGGGCCAAAGGCTTTTCCTCTACCCCTCAGTTAGTTGACAAATACCTGACATTCCACACAGGCACCAAGGACCCTGCTGTGTCAAACAGTTCAGCCTTTTGGAATTGAGAAAGAGTTTGTAGTTATACACTCTCTTGGAGAATGGGTGGGGGAGAAGCAACTGAGGTTCCAGAAAGGATAGAGACCTTCACCAAAGCTGCCCACAGATGCTTGGTCAACAGCTGTGCATGAAGCACCCAGCCCTCTCCAGGCCTCAGCTTCCTCATCTGAAAGATGGGACATAACATCCACCTGTAAGGGGTAGTAGGTACATAAGCCCAACTGGGAAAGTAATCACATTGGGCACAATGGGAACCCCACTCCCCATTGCATGGTAGTGTTGTCAGATCCTGTCCTGGTGGTACAGACCATTAACCCAGGCCTCATGTCCCATAGCCTCTACCCACCTGGAAATCCTGAGGATGTCTGAATAGAGGCCACAAAAGCTCCTGCTGGCAAAGGGGCCAAATGCCTAAGCCCTCGCACATTTGTCCTCATGCAAAGGCTCTGAGACAACTGTTTATCTCCTGGCCTAGAAGAAAATTAGTCCACCCACACTCTAGCAGAAGTTGGCACACTACCCCTAAGTAAGTAAAGTTTTACTGGAACACAGCTACGTCCATTTGTTTATAAACACCTATGGCTGCTTTCCCACCACAACTGCAAAGTTGAATGGCTGTGATAGAGATATATGTTCCTAAAATATTTACCAGGCTTTTTAAGAAAAAGTTTGCCAACCCATTTAGAGGTAAAAATGAATGTGAAGCAGTCAAATGAGCCCAAGGCAAGCTTGTGATTAGAATTGATGACTTATAGCCACTGAAAATATTGTTTATCTCTGACAAACCAGATACAAGTGAGGCTCAGGGAGATGTCACAAACTGCCCCACTGCCTTGCAATTGGCATAAGACCCCACTGGTATAAAATTGAAGACTGTTTGACCCAAACCCATCACATCCTCCTGGTATTTGTGTGTGAGGATGCACATACATGTTTGCATACCCCAACTCAATTCGAATGGTCTGCTTTGAAAGGTAGCTCAAAAAGTTTAATTTTAAAAAATGGAGACACTTGGGTGGCACCTGTGGCTCAGTGGATAGGGTGCCAGCCCCATATACCAAGAAGGTAGTGGGTTCAAACCCAGCCCCAGCCAAATTGCAACAAAAAAATAGCCAGGTGCTGTGGTGGGCACCTATAGTCCCAGCTACTCGGGAGGCTAGGGCAAAAGAATTGCCTAAGCCCAGGAGTTGGAGGTTGCTGTGAGCTGAGATGCCAAGGCACTCTACCAAGGGCAATAAAGTAAGATTCTGTCTCTAAAAAAAAAAAAAAAAAAGTGGAGACACCAAGACCTTTTACATAAGATGAGAGCCAGTTAAGTCAAGTGTGTAGGGAATAAGGCAATACAAGTTTGTCATTGGAAGAGCAGGATGTTTGTACCTTTTTAAAAGCACTTTTGTGATGACACACCATTATACATCCACCAAGATGTCTAAAATTTAAAAGACTGATACTACCAAGTGTTGATAAGGATGCAGAGCAACTGGAATTCTCATATACTGCTGGCAGAAGTGTAAATCAGTTCAATCCACTTTGGAAAGAGTTTGGCAATTTCTTATATGTTAAACATATACTATATCCCATATGACCCAGCCATTCCACTACTAAGTATTTACCCAAGAAAAACCCAAAGTTCTATAAAAAGATGTATATATCCAACAACATATAAAAAGAATAATACACCATGACCAACAGGTGTTTATACCAGTAATGCAAGGGTGATTTGACATTTGACAATCCATCATTGTTAATTCACCATATTTACAGATTGAAAAAGTAAAACCATACAATCATCTCAATAGATGCAGAAAAAGCATTTGATAAAATGCAACATCCTATAAAACCTCTCAGAAAACTAAGAATAGATACAGAGCATCTGAGAAATACCCACAACAAACATCATATTCAGTGGAGAAGGACTGAATGCTTCCCTAGAAGGTCAGCAACAAGACAAGGAAGAATGTCTGTTTTAATCACCTCTATTATACTGTGAACTGGGAATTCTAGTTAGTGTGCTAAGGCAGAAAAAAAGCCTCCTATTTGGAAAGGAAAAGATGAAACTGTCATTCACAGACAACACGATCATCTATGCAGGAAATCCAGGGGACACTGTAAAAAGACTAGAACTAATAAGTGAGCTCAGCAAAGTAGCAGGATACAAGATAAATATACAAAAATCAACTGTATGTCTATATATTAGCAATGAGCAATCAGAAATGGAAAATTTTAAAATAACACTGATAAAAGCATAAAATATATGAACACTTAAAGATAAATATGATAAAAGATATGAAAGACAGTATATTGAAAGTTATACTTACCGTCATTTGATCGTCCACAAGCCTATCAAAAATATTCAGTGGGGGAAAGACTCCCTATTTAACAAATGGTACTGGGTGAACTGGCTGGTGACCTGTAGAAGACTGAAACTAGATCCCCACCTTTCACCATTAACAAAAATTGATTCTCACTGGATAAAAGATTTAAACTTAAGACATGAAACTATAAAAATACTTGAAGAGAGTACAGGGAAAACACTTGAAGAAATTGGCCTGGGAGAATATTTTATGAGGAGGACCCCCTCAGGCAATTGAACACCAAAAATCCATTACTGGGATATGATCAAACTAAAAGGGTTTAGCACAGCCAAGAGCACAGTAAGTAAAGCAAACAGACAACCTTCATAATGGGAGAAGATTTTGCAGGTTATGCTTCTAACAAAGGTCTAATAACTAGAATCTACAGAGAACTCAAATTAATCAATAAGAAAAGAAAAAATAACCCCATTTCTATGTGGGCAAGGGACTTGAACAGAAACTTCTCTGATGAAGACAGGTGCATGGCCTACAAACACATGAAAAAATGCTCATCATCCTTAATCATCAGAGAAATGCAAATCAAAACCACTTTGAGGTTTCATCTAACTCTAGTAAGATTAGCCCACATTATAAAAATCCTACAGATGTTGGTGTGGATGCAGAGAGAAGGGAACGCTTCTACACTGCTGGTGGGAACGCAAGCTAATACAACCTTTTTGGAAAGAAGTTTGGAGAACACTCAAGGAACTAAAAGTAGACCTACTGTTCGATCCTGCAATTCCTTTACTAGGTATATACCCAGATGATCAAAAATTATTTTACAACAAAGACATATGTACCAGAATGTTTATTGCAGCCCAATTCATAATAGCCAAAACATGGAAACAGCCCAAGTGCCATCAACCCATGAATGGA